GCCATCATATAGTGACATAAACATTCTCTATGTCCTCTAGGCTATGAATGGAAGCTTAATTTCCAATTTACATTAATCTTTCAACAAAATATTCACATGTAACAATAAAAAGGCATTTTTACTGCATTCTATACCCTAAGAATGCTGTAGCTATAATAGTATTAAAATGTATATTCAATTTGATTCCACAAAGATACAGGCTCTTCCCAAGTCAGTTATTCTTCTTTCTTATAACCAAAAATAATAGACTAAGATTATTGAAATGTTTACAAGATCATTAAATGGTATGAACTGTGTAAACAACTGTATTCACATTAGGTGAATAAATCCTAGAACTTTTGAGGATTAGGCCACTCAATGGGGATAGAATGATTCAGAACAGTCAAATACCTTTTCATCAAACACAAAAAAATCAAATTGAACTTCATGACTACAACATGTGGTAATGCATTTTCAACTTTCAAGGCTATTTAAAAAAAGAAGCCAAAAACATGAGCTATATCCATGACAGAACTGACAAAGTAATGACTGTAAGCAATACCACTCCTGAGTACCAGGAAACTAACAGGATATCATTATTGCATCATACCCTCCCTGTAAACACTTGATAGTTTACATCTGACTACTACTGAGAAACAGAATACTAAAATTGTTCCAGAAAGGCAATGTTTATTATGGTTATCAAAATGCTTTAACATTCACTGTTTCTTTTAAGATTGGCTGTTCTGCATATACTTCTATACTAAACCTAGAATTTACTTCCATATTTAAAAGCAAAATCAGTAATCTGAAAACAAATTTATGCCTAAGATATTGAGGAAGAGTAGGAAAAAATAACACGCAGTCCAGTTTCAAGGAAACTCACTGGAAGATTTTGGCCAGTCTGCATGTCTCAAAAGTGTTGTTATGGGGATAAAATTGAGAAATGTGAGTTTTATACTACTCTTGAGTTTCTGAAGGAAAGATGAGAATACATCTAATAATTAGATAAATTATAAAGAATCTTCAATCTTTACTATTTTCTAGGGAAAAAGCCCACAGAAAAGCCTGCGTGTGAATGTTTGTTTTGCCTAATTAAATTATCTGCACTGAATGATAATTCAGAAAATCAGGATACAGGCATTTTGGAGAGTTGATGTATTTCCCAAAACTAGAGTATTTTCACTACACATTGGTTAAAATATATTCAAAACTCCTAAACAGCAATTGCTGCTGCAAGAATACACATTAAGACCAATCAATATAAGCTCTGGGGTTCAATTTTTAATGAAGTCTGGATTCTTTCTGAAAAGTTACTGGTGATTTATGCTGACACTGAACACAGGTGGACCCATAATTTTGACATTTCATCATATAGCTACCGCCACAGTCTCCATATCTGATTTTAGAGAGAGCTGACAACCCCAAATACTGTTCACCTATAAAATATGTGAGCATCATAACATATACACAAAATGTTATACAGAACAAGAGGCAACCACAGGTCAACACATTGCATCCTTTTATGCCATTTAGCTACAAGAAAATAGCTCACACAACCCAGTTTTTACATTTTACTTTGATATAGTATTCAGATACTGTATAACAGTTAAAAAAAAACAATAATCTGAATAGCTAAATTGTTTTAAATGTAGTTTTGTACATTTTGTACATTTTAGTTTTAAAATGTAGTTGTTAAAGAGAAGGCCATATATAAATATTTTTAAACACCTCTGCAGACAAAGTATTTGTCACTGGTGGACAAGACATTATTACTTTTTCCTCTCATTGTCTCTTTTCAATAATCTTATTCTGGATGAAAAACTATTTTAGTTAATAAATATTCCTCTGTATAATCAGTCTTAACAACAATATTTGACCATAAAGGTTAGCAATCAATCCAGTTCATTCCCTTACTTCCTTTCAGTGATGCTTACCTAGCAACCGGAAGGCAATCACACTATTGTCTAAGCCAGGGGTCTGCAACCTTAAATACTCAAAGAGCCATTTGGCCCCCTTTCCCAGAGAAAACACCGGGAGCCACAAAACCTGGTGGGCATGGCCAACTCGATGTCACGCACTTCCACCAGTCATATTAACCCCCCCTAGCCACGCCTACCCAGCCGATCATTAGGGCAGAAAACCAGTTGTTAAAAAACACCGGGAACCACAAAATCCTTTTGACATATCTCTCCTCCCTTCCTCCCTCCTCTCCCTGTATCTCTCTATGTCTCCCTCTCTCCCCCTCTCTCTGTATCTCTGTCTCTGCCCTGGCCATTTCTCCATCCTCCACCATCACCCTTACCTTCTCAGGCCAGGTGAGGAGTGACTGGGAGGGGAGGGTGATGGGTGGGGCCAGCCAGCGATGCGATCACCTGACAGGAAGCCACAACAGAGGGCCCAAAGAGCCGCATGCGCCTCTGGAGCTGCAGGTTGCTGACCCCTGGTCTAAGCTAACAGGTTAAGGGAAGGCTGCCTGAAGAGGAAGGGGCTGCATAGCTTGGCTTGGTCAGAAAGATCAACATTTCAATATCTAATAACCAAGAATGACTACTTCCATTCACTTGCCATTCTTTCTCCTACCAGAGGGATAATCAAACTAGGTTCAGCATAGGCTACAAGAGGGCAGAAAACTGGAGATCATGCTTTTCAGATACATAAATGACAATATTAGCATGACTTCTTTCTTTCCCTCATTGCCTTCTTAAAATGCATACACAGGATCTGGGTTTGCTAAGACAACAGGAAGGCAACAGACGACACCGGGCCCATAGCACCACGTTCATATGACAACTTTAACAATTTTTATTCAGCCAGCAGAGACAGTAGCAGCAGCCTTTTCGAACTCCATTGTTATCCCATTCTCCACTTAGAGAAGCAAGTAGCAGACAGGCAGCTGTAAAAAGTAGCATTTGTTTCAGTCCATTTGTCCTTTTCCTTTGCAGCATGGTGGGTAGGTGGGTGAAACATTAATATGGCCCTTTTTTTCCCCACTTAAAAAAAATTCAGCAAGAAAATAATGGATTATTTGATGCATGTCCCAAAAGATATGGACCGATTGATGAATGCTTAGGAACAAAGTAAAGCCCTAAAAAGTATATGGTCTATCTAGAGCCTATCTATGGCCTATATCCATGATGGCGAACCTATGGCATGCGTGCCAGAAGTGGCATGCAGAGCCATCTTTCCGGGCACATGAGCTGTTGCCCGTTGCTCTTCTGGGTTCCGGCGTTCCGGGCAGCTGGTGTTCACATGCGTAGGAGTGCCGGAAACCGGAAGAGCAGTCACCCAGTATGCATGCACACGCAGGGAAGATAATCTTCTGGTTTCCAGCACGCACACCAGCCACCAGGTTTTCCGGTTTCTGGAGTGCATGCGCGCGAAGACAAGCTGACCAGTGTGCCTGCGTGTGCCGGAAAACGGAAGATCATCTTCCCGGCATGCGCATGCGCTCCGGTCAGCTAGTCTTCCGGTTTCTGACACACACGCACACTTCCATTTTGGCACTTGGTTCTCCAACACTGGCCTATATGATTTCTTTTACTATGAACCTGTATGGTAACTCAGATCAGTTGGAAAGGTCCTTCCGAAGATGTTCCCAAAAGTAAGGGGGTAGCTTAGCTATCTAGCCCAGCAGAGAAAGTTTTCTCCAATGTGGTTCCCAGACTTTGGATTCCCTTCAGCAAGATAGTGTCTTTGGCCCCTACTCTCCCAGTAAGATACAGTGACAGACAAAACCCAGTCTCTGGTCTTTAATTTGACCTGGACTGATTTTGATTATATGAATTATAAGTTCAGTTCTGATCTTAATTGTAGTGTTTTTATTTTTAGATGATATAATTTGCATTTTTGGATGCTGCAAGCTGCCCTGGGTATACAGTAGTCCATAGAGAAAGGGCCAAATTTAATAAATGTTTCAAACACTAGACATTTATTTACATGAAAGTTCTTTTTTCAGATGTAACACCTCACAAGAGAAATTGAAGGAATGCCAGGGAAACAATACACAGGTTCTAGATTCATAAATATCTACCCACCCCAAGGAATGGAAGTCAGGTAATTAAGGCTATCAAGCATTCTTTTCTCCAGATCTTTTGAATTGGATGGTCAAAGCTCCAGGGAGGAAATGCTTTCTTCCAGGAAAGCAGCCCAACTTTCCCGATATTTCAGACCACAATCATAACCAAAAATCAACATGGGTTTGTCAAAAACAGATCATGCCAGGAAAATCTTATTATATTTTTTGATAAAAGTGACAACATTAGCGGACCAGAGAAATGCTGTGGATATAATTTACTTGGACTTCAGTAAGGCATTTGATAAAGTAGACCACAACCTACTACTTGATAAAATAGAAAAATGTGGGTTAGACAGCATCACCACCAGATGAATTTGTAACTGGCTGACCAACCACACTCAACGTGTAGTCCTTGATGGAACTGCATCTATACAGAGGGAAGAATGCAGTGGGGTACCCCAAGGCTTTGTTTTAGGTCCAGAAGTCTTCTATATCTTCATCAATGATTTGGATGAGGGGATAGATGGGGAACTCATCAAATTTGCAGCGACACCAAACTGGCAGGAATAGCCAACATTCCAGAAAATAGGCTTACGATACAAAAAGATCTTGACCGATCTTGAACATTGGGGCCTATCTAACAAAATGAAATTCAACGGTGAAAAAAGTAAGGTTCTACATTTAGGCAAGAAAACCAAATGCACAGGTATAGCATACGTGATACCTGGCTCAAGAGTAATAACTATGAGAGGGATCTTGGAGTCCTAGTGGACAATTCCTTAAATATGAGCCAGGAATGTGCTGCAGCTGTCAAAAAAGCAAATAAAATAAAATAAATCTCCCACCGCCCCAAGAGGCTGGCTGAGGATGCCAGGCGTTGCCACTCAACACATCCCAAAGGCACCCAGTTGGGCCGGTCTGCTTTCATGGAAGGAGCCTTTCCTGTCTCTGGGGACGGTGGCTCCCGGCACAGCCTCCCTTGCCCTTCCCTCCCCTTCCTCACCCTTCTTGTCCATCAGCCACATGAAGGCGAAGCAGGGCACGAAGCCGATGGGCCCCCAGAAGACCAGCAAGGCGATATCCAAGCTGGAGAAGCCGAAGGCCTGGCGGGCCGAGTTCTGAATAGGGCCCCACGTATTCCACACCAGGCCCTGCAAGAAGCCCAGCAGCGAGAAGAGCAGCAGCACCAGCCAGCGCCGCCCGTACACGCGGCCCGGCACCGGCGCCAGGCGAGGCAGGGGTCCCGTCGGAGGCGTCCCTCTGCCCCGCGACTCCGCCGCCGCCGCGGCCACCCGATAGGACTGGCCATGCTGAGCAAACGGCGGCGGTCCGGCGGGCGGCGCAGGGGGCAAGAGGGGCTCCCGCTCGTCGGGGCTGCTCCAGGCTGCGCCCATCGCCGGTGAGGCGGAGGCAGTCCCCACCTGCCTGTGACCGGCTGCTTGCTATCCAAGTGTTACCCAACCGCGGCGGCGGCAGCGATGTAAGCAAACCCCGCCCGGGCTAGGAGGCAACCTGGCCAGCCGCATGCGCGAGGCAGGCGGGCCTCGCCAAGGCGCTTCCCCGCTGAAGCCGGGATGGCAAGAGCAAAGAAGGGGATGCCTGGTTGTTTGGGGCTTTCCAGATAAACGGGGTTACAGCTGTCCCTCTCCCCAACCGGGGTGCTTAGGGACAGAGGGCAATGTCGTCCCACAGAACGGGAGACAACCCCCCCCCAAGTCGTAGCAGAGAGTACTTTAGCCTTTCCACGGGAGAAGTGGGAGCCAGTCCACGAAAACCGGCTAATTACAAAGAAAAAGCTGGATATTCGCTTAGTTGTAGCCAAATATCAGTTGCCAGCGCGGGAGTTTTAATCTTGGCTGGGACTGGGGGAAAGCCAGTTATATTAATACTCTTCGGCGACAATAAGGAAGGTGAAAAGAGGAAAAATTGCTCGGGAGTGCTTTTCATGGTCCAAGTGGACCAAAGGCAACGGAACAATAAACCCGCGCCGGTTCCCAAGAAGAGCCAAGTCTGTGCAGCCTCCGGGATGCGAACTTGAAAACAAAGCCACGTGATTCGGCTCAAATGATCCCTCACATGATCGCGGATAGAGGAAGGGCTGGCCGGTGACGGTGAAAGGGTGAGCCGAGGAGGAGGAGGAGGAACTGGGAGCAGCCTCTTTCTCTCTCTCTCGGACTAGGGATGGAGAGCGAAGCGGTGGCCACGGAGGTGGCCGCTTTGGAGCCATTGCATGCTGGTAGGTACATCTGCCTGCCTGCCTTGCCGTGTTAAGTCCTGTTTGTAGAACTTCGCCGAGACACGTAAAAGTAAGGAGGAGTGACTAAATGATGATACAGGACCCGTTTTGACGAACCGGTTTTTCCTGTCCTGTCAAATTTACAGGGCTCGTTACTTCAGTCACTTCTTTCTGACTCGTGAATGACATGGAGAACGACTGAGCTGCTTTAAGGAATTGCTGCCAATCGCTTTTTACATTGAAGCGGAAGTAGTCACAGCTCTAGAAAATATGCTCAGGATTTATCCACCCATCCGTGTATCCATCCATCCACCCACCCAAGGTGCTATTTATTGCTAAAATAATCCCAAAGTGAAAATGTGACAGCTTTTAAACAATCATAAACCTCTAGAAAATCCTCACATCTTAAAACTTACAAAACGTCCTGCTTAGCCGGAACAAATAAAAGATCTGTTTCAATATATAACAAATACAATAACATTGTATAACAAATACATTGTATAACCAATACATTGAGTTTCAAGAGAACTGGTTCCAGTTCTGCTCGATGTACATGTACATCATACCATACTGCACAATGAGGATATTCACAGTCACTTAATATAAAGTATCTCCAAGTGAAGAATGGTCAGTCCCTTAAATATGATTTCTGTTATTAGATGTTACCAAATGTTTGGAGACTAAAATGTTAAAGTCCAACTATAGATGCTTTTCATTGGATATATTCCCTATGAAATCTGGTAAACGTATATAAGGCTAGACTCAGATATGTAACTTGTTTGAATATGCAATTAGCTGGATTCACTCACCAATTTAAACCAACCCATTTTTGTTCATCTTCACCCAGGCTGTGAGGGAGAGGGAGACTCCTCACTTCCTTCCATCTGGTCTATTGCACTTGCTATCTTTTATTGGTTTTATTGTATTTTATTTGATTGTTGTGAGCCATGCATAGCCATTGGAATCAGGCAGCATACAAGTTTAATAAAGTATTATGAACATGATAGCTTGAACCAAGACAGTAATTGGTTGCATGCACATTCTCCAATCAATTCATGTTTGTCAATTGCATTAGCGTAATTCATCCATTGCCAACCCAGTGATCAATTAGGAATAAAGAAAACTATTAGGCCTTGCTTTGGATATCAGGTTCTTCTGTATTGTTTCCTTTCACCTAAAAGTTGATGTAGCTGTCAAGCTATTTTTATTTTTCAAACACAGTGCTAAAAACATGCACTTTTCACTTCCACAAATTACACTTGATGGTTTGGGTTTGGGTTTTTGTTTTGTTTTTTGGTATTGTTTTTTGTATTTTCTGTTCTTCAGAAGAGGTGTGTTGAGGTTTCACTCAAGCAGAATGGAAACTTGAATATACTCTTTATATAGCTACTCTGTTTTTAACTCAGACATTCTTTACCTTCAAAATTGTTTGAGTATTTTGTATCTCAAATACTGATGGCAGTTTAGTGAACTGACAATGCTGAAATAATATTTACCCAGGCTTCCATACTATTGCAGTCAGAAGACTCTGAGCAGTATACAATTCCTGAATAGAGTTATTTAAGGCTAAACTATTATAATGCAACCAATAATAATTTAAAAACATAACTAACACAACCTTATCTCTCTTTCTAATGCTTACATCCTGGGGAATAGAGTAATCCTTCCATTAAATCCCCTAAGTGATACAGAAAAGCAAAGTCTTCACTGCTCAGAAAAATAGAATAGGAAAGAGGTTACATCCCTGCTGAGATTGTTCCAGAGGAGGGTACGTCAAAAAGCTTTATCCTCAGGGTCCCTGATGAAAACATCCTTGTGGAAAAGGGATTGCTAAAATACCTTCTCTCACAGATTACACCTGAAGCAGGTGATCTCAGATATAAATGTTAAATCAAGAATTAAGCTATTGTGGATACATCAGATTTTTAGTCTATCTAGCACAGTATTTTCTAATCCATCTCATAGCAGGATTAAGAATCCTGAAACATTGTACAATATGTCGGATGTCAGGTATTGCATCTTAAGTTATTTTGAATGTAAAGCATATAGTTTACTAAACCAAGAATATACAGGTGAAACTCGAAAAATTAGAATATCGTGCAAAAGTTCATTTATGTCAGTAATGCAACTTAAAAGGTGAAACTAATATATGAGATAGACGCATTACATGCAAAGCGAGATCGTTCAAGCCTTGTACAAATCAGAGGTATAGTTTGCATTGCTCATCAAATGATTTCCCCAACCAGGGAACATTAACAGAGAAGTTAGTACAGTAATCAGACAATTATGAAAAGTTGCCTTGTAACTTCTTAATTCCAGAAAGATTTCCCAATGTGGAAATGACAATTAGAGAAGAAGCAGGCAAAAAACAGCAAATGAATTAGTATGGAAAATAGGATTTCCTGCACTTTACACACTTTTTCAGAGCTTCTTTTCTCTGCTGATCTGTAACCTAAATGTACCAATTGGTTTTCAACAATTTTGTCATGGAATGTTGTTGCAGTTTAGAATTTAGAGATGGTTATAGTTTTTGGACACTTTTTGTTCCTGGAAGTTTGTATCTTGACTCTTGGTATTTTACCTATCAAACATATTTTGATCTTCTCTGGTCTTTGGCATACACATACAGCATCATGGTTTAATTCCTCTTAACATTCTGGTGTAGGACGGGGTCCCCATCCTCCAAATCGTGGCCCACTATTGGGCCGTGAGCCATTTAGAACCGGGCTACAGAAGTGGGCAAGCATGCACATGCATGCATCCCCACTTGTGTGAGCAGCGGACAAGTGTGCACCATTTGCCAGCCACTCGCACGGAACTATGTCCTCCACCCCATCTCGCCAGTCCGCAAAGCCAGAAAGGTTGGGGAACTCTGGTGTAGTGGTTAAGGCATCAAGGCATTGTTGTGGCTCCGTCCTCCGAGCCTATCTTATCGGAGGAAGAAGGCTCCGAACATGAAGGAGAGGAGATGGCCAGGCCTCCCTCTCCAGGACCCTCCTCTCTGGCAATGCCTCAGGTGTCTCCCGAAGGGGAAGAGATTGGCCAGGAGCCAGGTGTTTCCGAGCCGTCGGATAGTGACGAAGAAACATTGTGGTTGGACCCACGCCAGCGTCAGAGAGACAAGCGTGAGCAGCAGAAAAGGAGGCGTGCCAGAGATTAAGCTGAATCACTGGACCACACCCGACAGGCTATAAAAGGGAGTGTGGTGGCCATTCAGACTCTGTGACGGACAAAGCTAATCTCTGGCGAGGCACTTGCACCTTCAGACACAACACCTATTTGCCGTGGATTTAATTACAAACTGGACTATTCAAACTGTGTGTATTTTTGTCTGTGTTATCGGAGTAAAAGCTCTTGGCAGGCAGCCACGGAGTTGCTGCCAAGTTCCTTATCACTGACGTTGTGTGTTTGAAGAGTTTATTTAATCCTCGGCTGGCTGGTTGGGTGTGTGCGTGGTACGGGGACAGAACAGGCATCAAGCTAGAAACCTGGAGTCTCAGCTTAGACATAAAGCCAACTGGGTGCCTTTGGGCCAGTCACTTTCTCTCAGCTCTAGGAAGGAGGCAATGGCAAATCAATTCTGAAAAATATTGTCAAGAAAACTGCAAGGACCTAGCAGTCTCTGAGAATCAGACATGATTGAAAGGATGAAGAGAAAAGCATGATGTTGCCTAGCCTACTCCAATGTGTTGCTGTAGGGAAAAATAGGGAATAAAAGGTAAGAAATAAATGGAAGGAAGGACAGTGATCAATTCCATGCATCTTTCATGCCTACAAATAGGAGTGCAGAAATATTAAGAATAAGACAAATAACTAGATTAAATGTCTTAAAATAAAATTTATATTTCAGCATAGATATTTAATGTTATTTGTGTTTACCTGTAATTATAATCATAACTGAAATAATAAAGTGTAATTAGAACATTTTAAATTGCTTTGCTTTGTAGTGCCATGGCCGGTATTTGGATATTTCTGCAGTGGTCTGACTTTTCCTCCCCAATTAATTTAACAGAGTGTAGCACTCAATGGGATTTTTCTAGGCTATATTGTCATCAAAATTAGTTAAAGGGAAAGAATGGCACTGTTGATAAATTGATAGAAGCCAAATTAATTTCTTCTTGCCGCCAGTTGATAGCTTTCTTTCACTCTCAGGACAAATTCATTTGTAAACATGCTAATTTCATTTGTTCTTAGTTGTGGCATTGTTACCCTTCCAATTTTTCACTCCATTGTGTTCATGGAAGTAAATTAATTTCTTTAGTCTGCTTGCAATATCTTTCAGGACCCAGATTGTTGGGGGCAATATGCTGACTCTATAAATTGCTTAGAGAGGGCTGTAAAAGCACTATGAAGCGGTATATAAGTCTAAGTGCTATTGCTTTTTAGGCCTTCCTATAAATAGGGAGGTAAAATATGATACAGGTGGAGCAGCATGTTAAAATAATAACATTGGCTGATTATATTATACTGATTATGGCATTTAAACTGTGGGATATTGAAGGATTCTAGTCTATATAAAATCTATATAAAGGACAGGAATGAATGGAGAGGGCTTGGAGTACAGTGATATTACTATGCTCACAATAACCAGATTTTCAGAATTGAGAGAAGTTGTGTAGGAATCATGGAAAATAAATAGATGCAATGGTGGATTATGCTGATTATGAAACTATGAATACGACTTCCTCTTTCTTGGGAGTTAGGGACATTGTCTACTATGGACTACAAATGCCATTTGGAGATCTTCCTGATCTGTTGCTTTCAATGAAAACCCAGGTGTTTTTGATGAGGAATGTTTGTCCCTTTCTGGCTGGCTCAGGTACCATATTTTTTGAAGTATAAGACACACCTTTCCACCCCCCCCCAAAAAAAAGAGGGTGAAAATCTGGGTGCATCTTATACTCCAAATGTAGCCTCGTCCAGCTTCTCAAATGAAGGTTTCAGAGGCTGAAAAGAAGCTTCAGAAAAGAAGCCCCCAAACAGAGCTTCAGAGGCTTTTT